TAGAATGAGCACTCTTAGCAGTGGCATATTACCTCTAGCAACAGTATCCTGGCCCAAACTTCGTAAAATGTGACAGCAGCAGTTAATTTGCTTTATTAGTTACCCATAATTCAAATCTAGTTACCTTAAAGTCTAGTTGGCTCTAACTTCATTACTCAGTTTAGACAAAAATATACCTCTTAGTTTACGCAGTCGAGTCTCTTAGTTTTAAAATGCTTAGCTTTGATAGTGTAGGCTAGTCCCCAAAACCTAGTCTAAGCTTTTAGCCTATTGCAGTCCCAGCAACACTGTTGTCCCCTAGTACCGTACTCGTAGCGCACCTAGTTAGAAAGATGATGGTCAGACCTCTGACAAATGGTAGTGTCAGTGCTAGCACCAGTACTACTGCACTTCTTGTTGAGATTGTGGGGATATGAGTCCAGTGCTGACTTTAATCAGCGTCCCTTTCTGACTAATCATACTAATAGAAATATCAGCAGCAGTACATACAAGTCTTAGTTTCCAGAACTCTGGCTTGACAGGTACTGAAGGTGGGTATTTACTCGGAATAGCTTTAACCCACATTCACACTCCCTGCTATTGTCAAGGGGATACGAGCAGAGGCTCTGTAAAGTCCAAGCTACGGATAGATACTGTAGTAGACCTATGGGTAGTCTATAGAAGGCAAAGTGCCCGACATAAAGGCATGGTAGGACTTGTACTTTTCTTTAAAAATACTAATCACTTTATCTCACACACATTGGGAGTGCATACTGGGTGCGACTCCTTAAAAAGCACACACAGGCAGTATTTATAGTATACTATCCACTGGCCTTAGCAAGCATGAGTAATAGGTATTAGCACTTTTAGTATAGGAACGCACCTAAAGCAGCAGTATACTTAGTTCGTACAACTTGATGGATAGAGTTGAGAGTGCGGAAACCAAGGCAAACGCTCATGTGCTCAGGGTCCCAAACATGTACTTACTCGAAATAGTTTCAACTCAGATTCACAATCCTTGTTGAGGCCAAGGGGGTATGAGCCCCAGCGCAAGCTTCAAACAAACGTCTTATCTGACAAATTTTAGCGTCAGAGATAGTACTGATACTACTAAGACTTGGTTACATTGATGGTCAGTAGTAGTAAAAACAGTAGCAGCCGTATCAGTCTCGGTCTCCTTGGGCCTTTCTTCACACCT